CCTATAGTGACCTCTTGTGGTAAATACTATCTACAGAGCTTTGGAGAACAAGACCTTTTCCTAGGCCAGACACTGGAGAACATAGAAGCATTGTTCCTCCGTGCTAGCAAACAGCCGTCACCAACAATGGAAGTAAAAGACAAATACTAACTAAACTAAAGGATTTCTTGTTGGAAGTCTACTCAGTCGTTGTCAATGAAAATATTCATAGTTGCTTTCTTCTATTAAAAACTATAGTGTCTTATATGGTTCTTTCAGTAGGGCAAAGGATGGCTGGGGACATGGAGTTCTTAACACCCCTGCTCCTGGAATCAAGCAAAAGATAGACAAAGAGGGCAATTTCTGGTGAAGACAAGAGTGAACTGGGATAAGCAGCGTTCTGGTCAGCAAAGCAGGCTCTAGAGCCAGAGATAATCTGCTGGTTTATTTATAAATACAGTTCAGGGAGTGGTCAGTATAATTTCAACCTCTACGATGTATTAAAAGTAAAAGTGATACATGGTATGACCTGGGTTAAGCAATGCTTCAGACACTATGCAGTTCTGTCACTATTTCCTGAATAGTGGTTTAGATGTTAAAGAAAATCTTTCAAGAAAAAAATACCATGAACATTATATCAAAAAAAATCATGTTTTCACCATTTTTTACCTTGGATACTACTAAAAAGGTATGATACCTTTTTTTGGTTTTATTTTTAAAACATTAGTTCTCTATTTCTTCTCCTACAGGTTCCCTTTTAAGATCTCAGTTTTTACAAATGCTAATTATAGCAAAAAAATAATTGTGGATTTTCTGTAAAAGGTGACTGAGTCAAGAACGTGCTTGTAGAACATAAATATCTCAAGCCATAATGGAAAATCGAATATATTGAACTTCTCTTGCAGGATAAGTGGTTGATAAAATACTACCTTTTCTGTTTTCGTCTTTCCTGAGCCCCTTTTTTTCCTCTAAAGAGAAAAACACTTCTAGTTTTTCATAATGTTTAGAATATTAAAGAACAATAATCAAATTCTAATAAAAAGATATTAAATCTGGTATGTGTCATATTTCAAAATAGCAACCTAGTTCACTGTCATGGACACTAATCATTTCTGCCTATTTGTTAAGGAATCAAAGACAACATACAAATAAAACGTGCTGCCCAAGGACATAGGTTGAAGGCCTTGGAAGTGTTGTGTTTTGTTTTGTTTGAGTCTAAAATTTCACCTATAACTCTTAAATATTCTTGATTTCTTTCAGGTATTTACCCTCTACCCACAGGTTTACTGCTCCCTACAGCCCAATGTACACTGATGAATAGCTTTCATAAATAATTGAAATTTAAATAAGGGAAGATAGCCTAATAATGTGCCAGATGCCGGTTCAGTCAATAAGCACTTCAGGCTGAGGCCTTCTATGAGACCTTTCACAGATGTGATGAACTAGTTCCCAAACTTTCTGTTCCTAGCAACTCATTTTGAACCTCCTGGCCAAAAATGTATTTAACCTTGCTATTACACTTATATTTTTGACATTTACAACTTCTTAGACGATATCCACTAGAATCACATGTTAAGAATTATTGTAATTCCTTTCATTTATCTAAAACTGATCTTGTCTTTTATCTTAACACTAAAAAGAGGAATTCCCTACTTGTACTATTTTGGGATTTGGCCATAAAGTATGTTTGTATTCATCCTACTCAATAGCCCTCATTATTTTATTTTACAGACTTTGAATCACTAGTAGCAATTTGAAATGCTTCCCCATAACAGACTGAGTCAACCAAATAAGGAAAATAAAAATCCAATCTCAAGAGGTGTAAAGAAACTGCAAACAGGAGCTAGTACTACTGTGGGGCACAGAATACAGCACTGTTCGTCTGGGAAATTGCAACTGAAGAATTACGAACTTTATCAGGAAGTGCTCCATTTTAAAAGCTACATCCAAATAGACCACACTTCATGCTCTTTTGTTCCACGTCATCAAGAAGTTCTCTGATGGATGTCTAATTGGCTGAGATTTCAGTTCATTAGTGATATCCATGGACAAATAAGTGCCTGACGTTTTTCTCTGTGTCTAACACTTTTCCGAATCTGATATCCCCCCCAATTCTGTATCTCTGTTTCTGTATTTCCGTTACTTTCCACATCTCTCTTTTGCTCTTTGTGTGTGTGTGTGTGTGAGAGAGAGAGAGAGAGAGAGAAAGAGAGAGAGTGAGAGAGAGAGAGAGCTTTTTCCGGTACCTCTGTCTTTGTATGTGGCTGAATGGTTTTCTGTTTATCTCCATACATCTCTCTGTACAATTTCTGTATCATCCGACACTCATTAAAAGATCTGATCTTTTCATATGAAGAAAATGATGTTGTATCAGAAAGAGAAGCATTTCATGGGGTAAAAGTAAATAGGCAACCCCAGCCTATCTTTCTTCAATTTCTTTCCTTTCCACTAAAGCTCTGCCAACACCTCACTTTCAATGTGGTTAAGTTAGTGAATAATGAAATCTTCAATGTGACAAACCTCATCCATCTGTGAGAATCCTGAAGGGAATTTTCTCTGTGAGTCTCAATTAAATAATTTCTCAGAATGAATCTTTCTATTTCTCTGCCAAATCATATAGAAATGGCAACAACTGTGGGATACTCCCACATGAATGTGCAGACCAATTTAACACTGTAATTCTCAATTTCTGGGGTTCTTCCTGTAAAAGTAGTACTGAGACTTTCTAGTTTTTACTACCTACACATGCACATATACCTAGCTTACATGTCCAACACATTTCAAACAAAGCTCAGAGGTATTGAGTAGTGGTATTAAAAGTTAGCCATAAGCAATGAGAAGTGATATTTTAAATGCCAAAACAGATCAATTTTCATTTGCACTTGGTGTTATTTATGGAAAGAAGCATTAAACCAATGAAGCAATTATATAGGGGAGGTGTCAAAAAGATAAAACATTCATTAATTTGGAGGGTAATTGTAAAATAGAAGCAGCAGAAGCAGATATTTCTAAGCCACATTAAGGTAAAGTCTTAATTTCTTGTATATCTGCAATAAGAGATATTCCAAAAACTGGCTCATCGTTCAATCTGTAGAAGAAGTTTCAACCACAGATGCTATATTAGTCAACTTCAGTCAAGGAATTCTCATCTTCTTTCTGGTTATCATGCAGAGGAACAGAGTCTGTGGGTTTTATTTTTTTAAGGCCTTCTCTGAAAAGTCCTCTCACAGACCAAATTGCATGGAGTTGAAATAACCCAAGAGGATAAGAAAGCTCAAATAAAACGTATGTATCTTAGATAGTTGATCCCAATAACCTTTAAATTTCCCAAATGGGTTGTTTTAATAGTAACATCCCGTTGTACTCTAAGTCTTCGCTTAATATACATAAGGGTAATGTATAAACACAGAAATTGCCTACCGTTATGAATTTGTATTTTGTATTATCATAAAAAATCAAAAATACATTTGAAATCACACTGGAATGGTTAAAAATACTATAGATTTTTTTAATTAGACTGAGACTATTAGCTACTTTTTCAACCAAAAAGTCTGCTCTAGACTTGTAAAATATCAGGTGTTGACCAAAGTGGAAGAAATAAAGTCACAAGCTTCGAATTAAAACCAAATATCACAGCAGAGATTTATGAAAAATGCCTTGCGACACTTAAATGTAGATAGTCCCAAAATCAGGGGAAATATCTGCAAGCCTAGTTTTAGAAAAGATCCTAATCTAAGAATTAGTATAATCTAGTCAACCAATTCAGGGAAAGCATAATTATTTTTTTTAGTGTGACCCTCTCTTACCCACTAGGCAGAGAGCTTCTTGAGAACAGAAGTGTTTTCACCATTTCTTTTATCCAAAGGACCCCAGAGAGTGTCTGTTGTATATGGCACCCAAATAAATATTGTTTCAATGAATGAGCAAACAATGAATTATGGAACTGCATAGAGTATTTCCATTGTTCTACTGTAATCAATATGCAGAAATATCTTTCTCATAAGTCTCCAAATAAGAGATCTCAAAATAAAATAACAGGCCTCTAAAGGAAAAAACTTTAAAGGATACTTCACATATCTTGCTTTAAAATTGGAAATTATATAAAAGAATTAAAAAGACATGAAAGATGGAGATTTCTGTAACATGCAAAGTTTAGAAGGTCTTAAAATGTGAACTATATAATGATCCCGATTCAGAATATCTTGGAGGAAATGAATTTATAAATGCATGGCATTTTAAAGACACTTTAAGGCAAGAAAACCTTACAATCAGTAGCAAAGTAGAATGGCATTTCTAAAAATTCTTTCTCCAGTTACTTTAAAAGCACGGTAGCTATTGCTTCCCTTTTACATTTCTCCTGTCTAAGTCAAATCAAATATATCATATAGATTAATATAGACCAATGCACACTGAAAAAAAATTAAAGAAACTTTAAACACGAACTTAACCGTAGTAATTGCCTTCCCATTTTTCAAGTACTCTATTAGGTTCAACTCCAACTATTCTCCCCTGCACAAGGTTCCTTTCAGCAGTGCTCATTGGACCCAAAAGCCATTCCAGAGACTTAAATCTTATTAAGTAGCCACTTTCACAGCCATTCCCAACTTGAGGGAAACGCTTCCACTAAGATTAACTCTAAGAATTTGATCAGTCCCTGAAGTCAGCTTGGGGAAAAAATGTGGGGAAAGGATGAGCAAGAAATATATCCCTCATCAAAGCAAAACTCAACTTTATTCTCCAGTTGAACCTACACCCTACCAGCTCTCTCTTCCCTTCCTCCCCTTCTGGGCTCTGGACAGGTGGGTGGTAGGTGAGTATGTCTTGGAGAGGGGATGCAACTAACTTTCCTCCACCACCTTATTCTGCTCCCCACCCCGAATCAGGTCCCACTAGTAACTGAAGCCACCAGGTAGAGCTGTCTGTATCCCCCTCCCCCTTAGGAGAGGGATGGGATGGGGAGGATGGGGGGCGCGCGTGGGCAGGATGGAGGTGGGGGTGTTCTGAACTGCAACTCTTCTTACCGCTGGAGCGCCTGACGATGTTCTCCAAAAATGTGTTCTGCGGTGCCACCAGCCCTCTCTTGCCCCCCGGCATCCTGGGTCTGAAGAGCGGCGGCCAGGATCCGCGGCGGGGGAGGGGGGGATGCAGGAAGAGAAGGTGGAGGAAGAGGAGGAAAAGGTGGAGAAGAAGATCGAGCCGAAAGAAGTGGGGGCGCGGCGGCGGCGACGGCGTCCCCTGACTGTGTCTCCAGCCGGACCCGGATGAGCAGCTCTGGGGAGGAGGACCAGGCAGTTCATGGTAGTAGCGCTCCCCCGGCCGCCGCTGCCCAGTCTGTGGCGGTGCCGCACACGGGGCTCGGGAACTGCAGGCTCCGCGGGGCACAGTGCGCCTGCGCCGCCCCCGCTGTCGCTGTCCCGCCGGTGCTGATGCTGAAGCTGCTGCTGAGGCTGCTGCCGCGGCGGCGGTCGCCTGGGCGCGGACTCAGCATTTCTCCCGCTGCCCCGCGCCCCGGGGCTGGGGAGCGGGAAGTGTCAACTCAAGCCCTCGCTCCCAGTCCCTCTCAGTCCAGATGCGGACCTCTTTACTGAGCCTTCCTCTCCTCCTTCTCTGGCCCACCCCTCCCGCGCAGCTGGATCGCGGCTGCCCAGCTGAGCCCAACTTCTGCCGGGCGGTGCGCACGGTGGCCGCTCCTCTCTCCCCGGAGATCCAGACAAACGTTCGCTGTCCAATGGGGCCACGGAGCGGGAGAGGAAGTGAGAAGCGAGCAGGATGCCAGAGACAGCAATGGACAGTCGGAGGGCTTACATCTCAGCTTCTCCCGCCGGGGTCGCGAGCCCCGGCTGCTCCCAAAGACGCGGCTGTCAGGGCGAAGGTGTCGAGCAGCTCCCGCTCCAGCTGAGGCTGAGCGCCGAGCAGGGACTGACTGGGAGGCGCGCGGGGACGCAGAGCAGCCACCTGACGCTGCTACCGCCCCCCTCCGGGCTTTGGCGCCCGAAGCTCAACAGAAGAGCCGTCAGCACCCGCCCTGCCCTACGCCCAGGAGCCGGGGCCAGTTAGGGTCTGCGCGCGGAGAGCGTGGGAATGGCCCCTGCCCCTCCGGCTGGAGCTGGCGCGCGTGGGAGCCTCCCCAGGGCCGCGGAGCACGGGAGGCGAGCGGCGAGCCCCGCTACCCAGGTTAAGTTGCGGGAAAGGTTGCACTTAATGCAAGGAGTAGAGGAAAAGGGTGAATAATTCACACCAGAGAGAGGAGTGCAGTGGGCAGCATTTGTGGTGGAAAAACAGTAAAGGTGGTGGGAACGAAGCAGCACGGGGGGGGTGGGAGGAGGCTGCAGGAATCTTCTCTAAGAACCCTCCATTCGCTCAGAACCAGGGACAGAAGTGGAATCTTTAGAATACTTAGTCCAAAAGCCTGAAACTACCCGGAGAAGGGGAAATGGCATTAATTGTGAATGTAGCGCGGAGGGATGGAAGGAAAAGGGGGAGCTCACGCCGAGGCACCTTTTATCTAAGGCAGAGGTTCTCAAGGCGGTCCCGGACTGGCAGCATCTCCTAAGAACCTGTTAGAAATGCAAAATCTCGAGCTCTACCTCAAAGCTAGGTAACTAGAACACTTGAGACGAGGGCCAATAATCCGTTTTAACAAGCCCTCCAGGTAAATAGAATGCATTCTCGCTCAAGTTGCAGAAGCACGGATCTAAAGCTTCCCCTTCAAAGGCTCCACTGGGCCTATCCAGAAAGAATGACTGCTAAGCAGGTTCAAGGACTAAGGACAAAAAGTGCGCGCTGCAGAAGCGAAGGATAGTTGTGTGGGGGGCGTCCCCTTTTGCTGGGGTCATAATATGCTAGGCAACCCCTGTTAGAAATGGTCAAGGCTAAATTGCTACGAAGCGGCAGGAATCCTCAGGCTGGGGTCCCAGGAAACATCTGCTCAGTTCCTGCCTTGGGCAGGAAGGAAAGAGAGAAGGTGTCTGACTTTGTTTAGAAACCCCTAGATTACCAACCGCTGGCCTCGACTTTCGATCACTCTCTCTCCAGAGCACCCGGGGAGAGGGGAAGAGGCTATTGTCTGTGACCGAGAGACACAGGATCCAGGTTTTAGCCTAGGGCATTTTCCCCCTCTCCACTCTGAAATTTCCACCCATTTGCCCAGAGCTTGGGCGGCTGAGTAAACCCGGAAGGTTGACGCAAGGCAAAGAGCAGTTTGCTGGACTAGGATTCCTCCCGCAAAAAAATCAAGAGACTGTGGAATAACACTAGGCTATTTTAGCTTTCTACTCAAGTACTGCTGGTGGTGCAAGTTAACTCCCCTACAGCTAGAAGGTCTTCTAAATACATTGGGGTGTATTTAGTTAAATAACAAGGGACTCAGGCACGCACTGGATCCGTCTAAACCGCCTGCCACCGACAGGAGTCAGAGATGTGGCTGAGGTTACAGCTCCCTCCCTGCAGTTGACTGGGTGTGGGTTAGGGGCGGGGCGAAGTGGAAAGGCGTTCTTAAACACACGAAAGGATTCCTCCCTCCCCCATGGGTCTTATATAACCTGTGTTTATGGGGACTAACCTAATGTAAGGACACACCATGGTCCCTAGACTAATGAGCCATTCACAGACTGGAGTGGTAACAGACAGACTGGTAAATATATATATAAATATATATTTAAAACATATAAAATATATATATTTCATAGATTGCTATCCTAGACTTCCAACGTGATAAATCCATTATCATTATTAACAGGAATATATATATATAATATATTTATTTCATAGATTGCTATCCTAGACTTCTAACATGATAAATCCATCATCATCATTAACAGGAAATACTTCAGATCTATATGTTCTTTTGCACATCATCAGCTGCCCACATCTCGCCTCTGGGTATTGATATAAAACCTCTGTTTCCCAGCATTTCCCATCTAGTATAAATATCTCTGTTCCTAATCACTCCTCTGTGGGTATATTAGCTCACACTTCCCAAAGAGGAAACTCTTTTGGACTCCATTAAGACACAGTCACACAATTACTGGTAGAACTTCCCCATTTATTTCCATCTGCAGATTTAATTAAAATGACATTTATCTTTTCTTCTTTGTCCTTAATTGTATAGCATTATAAACTTTTGGATTATTTTAGGGTGCCTGGGTGGCTCAGTCGTTAAGCATCTGCCTTCGGCTCAGGTCATGACCCCAGGGTCCTGGCATCGAGTCCCACATCCGGCTCCCTGCTCGGCGGGAAGCCTGCTTCTCCCATTCCCCCTGCTTGCATTCCCTCTATCGCTATCTCTCTCTCTCTCTGTCGAAAAATAAAAATAAAATCTTAAGAAAAAAAAAGAAGTGGTCAGGTTCTAGGCACATTTAAAAGGTAGAGCTGACAGATTTAAAAAAAAAAACTTTTGGATTATTTTAATCATTGTAAAAAATTAGCAGTTATAAAATGTCAGACCTCTGGCTTCCACGCTTTTCTTAAACTTCGAGTTTAAATTTTCATTTTACAGAGGAAGAAACCAAGACCCAGAGTGATGAAGTACCTAGTCCGAGACGACAGAGTGCTTTAGAGGCTGCACTGAACCTAGAATCAAGTCTTCTGACCCTGTAGCAAGAGCTCCTTGTAAATAATAGAAAATAATCTGATGCTGCCTAAATATTGGTAACCACCAGCAACATCCAGTGATCTCTGTTGCCATCACTGATTTTGCAGCACTGCAGAGAAGAGAAACCCCTGGCAACAATTTGCAACAGCTAGCTCCTAATCAAAATAGAGCTAAGGAAAATAGAGTGGCACCATACGGACTGACGAGCCCTAAGGAATGTGCTGGCAGATTGCAGCAAGGTGCCAATACAGCATTTTAAAAGTGTTTTGCAGACAGAGTCCATATGTGGTAACCAAACTGCAGGATTTAACAGGTGAGAGAGATAGGAATCAAAAAGCTTCAGTGTCACACAAAGGGCTTCTTTTTGTTTGTTTCATTGCAAGGATTCCATTTTAAAGCAGAATCATTTGTCCTTTTCTTCTTTCTTCAGGCATTGTCATTAGAGTGGTGTTGTCTGTGAGAACCAAGAGTTCCAATACCCAGAAGTGTTCGCTGATGCCCAAGTCACAGCTCGGAAATGAATGGATGTTAGCTGAACTGCAGGTGCATTCCATTTTAACAGCAACTACCATAAAAGTGAAGACTTGGAAATCTGACATATTAGGAAGTGGTGGTTTGTAATCGGTACTGGTTCACTGAAGGATTCTTTTGTCAAGCGCCCCTTCTTTGAAGATTTTTTAAATGTAGTTTATTTGACAGGAGTGGAATTATATGTAAACTCTCAGAAATGCCTTAGAAATAGGTCCAGTCTGACTTAATGTTGGACCCTTTCTGTGAAAATAGCTTACCCGCTACTCTCTAGGGGCATGATTTTTCTCCCTATCTCCAATTTTCGTTTCTGAGATAACCTGGGCCTAGGTCTAAGGTGCAGTCTGCAGATGCTGAATGGGGAGCTCAGATGGAGGACTGGGAGCAAAGAAGAAAGGGGCCAGAGGCTGCCCCCAGCTTGGCCTCCGGGGTTGGTCTCATTAGAGCAGTATCAGTCCAAACCATTTCCTGCTCCCAAACCCATTTCCCAAGTGTCACTCTCTGCTTCCCTCAGAGCCCTGCCCCAGCTCTAGGAGCAATATACCCAAACGGTACTGCTTGGCTCCTCTGCATGCACCAAGTCCCACACTTGCACGTATAACCTCCCTCCTCCCCCTCCTCCCTTTCTCCCACCCCCTACCCAAACTAAGTTGAGAAGACGCAGAATGGACAGGAGACTAGCTGAATATTATATAGAGGGCCCGTGCTTATACTCTGGACCCAGACTGTCTGGAATTTAACCTTGCCTCATGCTAGCTATATGACCTAGAGTAAGTCATGTAACCTCGATTTCCCCTTCTGTCAAATGGGGGTAAAAATGATCTATTTAATAGGGCTGTTTTGAGGGTTAAATGAGTTCCTATTTGAAAGCCATTAAAATAATATCCGGCGTGTAACAAGTACCATATAAGTGTTTATAAAGTAAAACGTTTTTATCCCCTTCTGCTTTCATTTACAGTAAAAGCTCTAGATG